CGGGTCGGGGTTGGGTATGCACGGATATGACAGTCAACTTCCCTTTTCCCTATGTACCACTACACCTAATGCCACTGCCCTGATCACTGCACCTGCTGTGCACATTCCTGCCCACACAGTGGCCTCCTCTGGGATCTCCCATGGAGACACCCAGAGAGATGTGGCTGTGTGCAGGGATGATGTGGCTCCCTCCATGTGACCTTGACTGCATGTATATAATAGCACCTAGGGTGGGAACAGAAAAAGCAGCCTTCTTCTCAATTTCCCAGTACTGTAGTTCACTACTGCCTCCTTATTTCCCTTGATGCATGTGCCATATTGGGAGCTTCCAACCTGGCTGCTTCAGGAAGAGGCCATTGGGACCATCTTTGATGGTTCAGATGGCACCCATACTGAGGTCCATGACTCCAACCTTAGTGCCTCCACCCAGGCATATGCTCTCACTCTGGAATGGTTGGGAGTTCCCCATTGGAGAGTGGAACATGGTGACAACTGCTTTGCCATCTTTCGATCATGTCTGCCCATGCTTGATAACATGCCCTTCAGCAGGAAATATGGAGCCACACTCACTCCAAGAATTTTCAAGGCACTGCAAGGGGAGACATCACTATTGGATTTGACTTTGCTGTTACAGAAATCATTTTGCAGCCCCGTCCACCACAGCAGACCCTGCTCACAGCTCCATCAAAGATTTTTCTGCTCAGCTCTTTGTGATGGAGCAATGTCTCACAGCACTTGCCCCTGAGGGGGTTCCTATCTGTTAGAGACCAGAAGCGAGACAAAGGAGATGTCTCCATGGTGGAGGGCTTCGGCCTCAGCGACTCAGACCAGGAGCGCTGTGCCTAGTTACATGTCCATGCCCTAATTTACTTACTGGCAGTGAGAACTAAAAAGGGGGATCAACTCTAGTCGATTTTATCACTAGGGTGTAACCTATCTACAAGTTAAGTATATATAGTTACAGCAAGGGCAGGCCCATGAATGACAGGACTGAAGGAGCAGAGCTAATGGAGTTAAACGTTAGCCAACTGAATATTACCAACAAGTCAGGTTATGGGGTTAGCAGAGTGGTGGGCTATAACCCAGAAATGGAAAGGAGGGATAGGCCCAAGGGTAGACTTGCAGGGCAAGCAAGTGAATTGCCCAGCAGGGGCAGGAGTGCACTAGCAGACATCAGAGCTGTCTGGAGGCCTTTGGGGTTCTGTACTTAGGGAGGCAATATATTGAATTGAGGGGGTGGTGACCATCAAGGGAGTCGGAGGTGATTGTGGAATATGGGGGCTCCGAGGTTAGTGACAAAGGAGTGGAGGTAGTCCGGAAGGATCAGAGGTAGTGGAGGACGATGGCCATAGATGGATATGACACTATCCCATTCAAGGACTTCTCTGCCAAGGTGAAGAGCATGATGCAAGGAGTCTGGGTAGACTTGAAATATGAGGAAGGCCTGCATTCTAGTGTGGCCTTGGAGGGAAAAAAATGGAGAACAATGAGAGTGTCAGGGCATACCCTGCCTGACCCCACACTGCATCCCATGCTGCCCTGCCCTACTCTGCTCCCCCACTACCACTCCCTGTTCCTCTTCCTTCCCTTTTCTCTATGTATCACTACACATCTAATGTGTCAGGACACGGTGAGGAGGGAGCAGCGTGCCTGGACCTTTCCCCGGAAGGGAGGCCAGAGGTAGAGGATGGGCAGAAGGACCGTGGCCTCAGCAACTCAGAGGGGAGTGCTGTGCCTATGTTCGGTAACACTTAGTGTCTGGTCCTTAACTTCAGAACAAGGGGGGGCACGAACTCTGGGGGAATAGTCGTTATTGTCGATTTTGCACTGAGGTGCCATCAACCAGTACAGGACTTATATACATAATACAAGACAAATAGGAACAAAGGGAAAACCCAAGATGGACTTACCCACTTGCTGGGTTGGCAAACTTGTGAGAGAATCGCCTTATTGAGCATTGTGGAGTGGGTAGATGAAGGGTGGAATTAGCGACAGCTATTGGATAGTGGGAAAACCTTTGCAGGGTTGATGGAGGTCCTAGGAGGTCCATAGTAATATTGGGTGGGTAGAAATTAATAACCTTCTATGATTAGGATAGGGGGTACCGGAGATGGTACTGGAGATCGGAGGTGGAGGTGGACTGGAGGTGTACTGGAGGGTATGGTGGAGGTGAGGGAGGGGACAGACCGGAGGTGGACCAGAACGGTGGTGGAGTAGGTTGGAGGTTAGGTGGAGTTGGTATGGATATGACATAATGCCACTGCACCTTGCAGATCATCCAGTTACGTGTCCAACATGTTCCTGACAGCCAAGTTATGACCTTCCGCTGCCGTCCTGTACCCCATACTCGAACACTGCTCATGCCTTTGCTCTGAGATTCCATCATGGTCCCAACCTCGGACTTTGACTCCATGTCAGGGCATACCCCGCCTGACCCCATGCCACACCCTGGCCACACCACCCTACTCTGCTTCCCCCTATCCCTTCTTTCCTCTTTCTTCCTTCTCCTTTCTCTCTATTCCTATTCTATGGTCAATTTCCTCTTTCTCTATGTACCACCACACCCTAAGGCCACCACCTCTATCGCTGCACCTGCCATGTGCATCCCCACCCACACAGCAGCCACCCTTGGGATCTCCCATGGAGACACCTGGAGCAGTGTGGTTGTGTGTGGAGATGATGTGGCCCCTTTCATGTGACCCTAGCTGCATGTATATAACAGCACCTGGGGTGGGAACAGAAGAAGCAGCCTTCTTCTCACTTTCCCACTTCAGACTAAGTGGTCAGGGATGCTCAACCCCACGATGGGACTGCTGCTATGCATAGCCACTACTCATCCCATTGAGTCCCCCATGCCGGGACTTTGCCACTTTCAGAGCTGTCCCTGACACTCCACCTCAGCTTAAGTCCATTGCATTGGTGACCTCATTCTATGTAAACACCATTGCCAATATCCTTCAGACTTCCAACTCCATCTCCGTAAGCTCCATAAGCTCCGTCACCTCCAAGCTTCACAGACTGTTCTTGGCACTTTCACCACTTGTAGTATACATTCTGCACTTCTCCCTCATCCCTATTTGGACTACTGCTTCCTTACATTTAGCCAGTTAGTCATCAACCCCACTTCACCTCATCCTCCTGCCCCTCTGGGCTTTGCCCTTCCTACCTCCTTTTGGATGTGCCATAGAGTCTAACCCATGACCCTTGGCACCACACCACTTCCATTATTCCCTTTGTCTCCATTCAGATGCCTTTGTTCTGATTTGGACCCCCTTTGATTTCCTTGTGCTTTCATCTCCCCAATATATGTAGGCACTTGTATGTACATACTCGATTAGACCCTCAGTCTAAAATCAACCAGAAATGCCCCCTAGAGACTTCCTTCTAGCTATGTCTGAAATTAAGGACCAAATAGACAAACAGCAATGGCACAGCACTCCCCTTGAGTTGCTGAGGCCAAGGTCCCTCCTTGCTAAGTCTCCAGTTCCACTCCGGAATCGTCCACACTTGCCCCATTCTAACAGAGGGGTGAAAACCATTTGGGGGTGAAAAACTGTAGTGACATATTGAGTAGGGATTGGGCTCACACCCATATAGGCTCCAGAGCTGCAGAATGTACCTTTACTCTTTTTCAAATGGCCTCAAACTTGGCATAATTACTATGTGGATATAGACATACATTTTTGCCAGAGGTATTTTCAGGATTCTTCCTGATGCATGAGAGAAGCACATACATTTTCAATGTCCCACACACATATCTGCATATCCCACATGGGTATTTGTCAGAGTCCGCGCATCAGTTCGCATGTAAGGATCTCCCTGGGAAACTAGTCATTGTTAAACATCAGCAAAAGGTCCTCAGGGTTTCACTTCAAATGGTTTGAAAACAATTGAGTTCACTTCTGAACTGAATTGAAACGTGACACCTTTACTAAAATGCTTTGGGAAATTGGTCAATTCGGCCAGTTTCATTGTATTAGAAGCAACAGGATCATCAGAAGTGTCCAAAGTTGACCGTGACAATTTCCTGATGAAGCTGGGGAGCCAACCCAGCTGGTGATAAGTATACATGAGTTCCACAACTCATAAGAGTGCGGCAACATTGGGAATACATGGTGGCCGATAGAGAAGTGACATGAGATAGGAAGATAGATCATGTGGAAAAGGGGGCAATAATGGGTAAGGGGTGACATGACAGCGGAAATAGCGGAAATAGCGCATTGAATACAACCTGTGTTCTAACTATTATGGGTACTCAACCTATCTGGATAGGGGTCCGGGCTGGCCGGATAACCATCCGTGCCCTGACAGTATTTTTATATTAATAATTATGGCTACATCCAATATGTGTTGTGTGACCAGGAGGAATGGTTTTCAGATGAGGATGGTACTATGATTGTTGCACGTGACTGGAACCTGGCAAGCCTCCGGCTTGCCGACATCTATTACCCCATATTGAATTATCACGCGACCGCATGCATTCCCTCCGAATGGGGCAATGCCGGTAGGATAGCTGACTGCCACGTCATCACGAAGTAATAAAATAAATTTATCCTCATCATCATCCCATCATTCTCCAGTTAATAACTGTTAATATAACTTTTCAATATTTACATGGAAATCTCGCCGCTCACACTTATGGGCCACAGATCAAATTTCGCAAAGTTTCAATATAAATATCCCCTCCACGTTATGCATCATGGGGATGGCAGGTTTATGGGTTAGGCAGTAGGAACCATACCGGTTCCCAGAAGTTTCTATGGGGTTATGTGTTATCTCAGTATGACCTACCACAGTTTCAACTGTACCCTCTATCCCCCCAGCTGAGCAAGGTGCCCAAATATAGATTCCTTGTTAGTCGGAAATATTGCGAATCGCGAGATATTACCACAGCCGAAATCCCGAACATTCGCAGGGACAAAGGAATAAGATTGGTCCCCTCACTGGTAGTCGCACCCTGCATCTGCTTGTTACGGCGCCCCCTCCCCTTTCAGATCAAAATGAGGTTTACCACACCTCTCATCGCTGCTTCTCTACCTTTCCTGGTGCTTTCCAGCCCCACTCGCATCCACAGTAATGAAAAAGGTCGTTCAATCCCGATTAGCAAGAGGGGTTCCACCTTCGTTGATCATGGCGTTGTCAACATAACGGCTCTTCGGGCCCACCTTGCTTATGTCGGCGCGTAAGAATGGGATTTCGATGGGGCTTCTTTGAATTTTCAGTATCTTTGCTTCTCCCAGAAAATACCACATTGGCTTGAAGAATTACGAGAGGAATACCAGCCCAGTCCATCCCCTCGCCTGGGATAGAGCGACCCACGCCACGAAAAGAGATATCACCACCAGTGCCTTAACAGACGTTAGGGATAGTATTTGGTGGGGCAACATCTCAGTCGGGAACCCTCCTGTTACGTTTGCCATCTATTTCGATACGTGAGTTACCTGTGGATATTTGAGAGGAAATTGAAAGTGACTGCTCCAATCTCCGATTCGACATAGCGGAAGCAGTGACTTCTTCATTCCTGATGTCTCTTGCATGAACTGTGGAGCACTGCGCAGTGCACGTTACAGCCCTAGGTTTGTTCGCCCATTCATAATCTGTGATGCTGCATCACATTTACCATATCTTCATTGAGCTTGAGCTCCACTTCCTCGGCGGTGGGGAAAAGCTTCTCTCTCGTTTATGGCGACGGTTCCTCAGTCAGCGGATACCAATATATTGACGCTGTCACTGTAGCCGGGCTCACAGCCAAGCGTCAAACCCTCGGATCCGCCACCGCCCTTAGCCAGTACGTCTCCAATCATATCCGTTGATCGTGGTTCTCATTCATCAATTGGCTCGACAGGAATTTCCAGACTGGAGCGATGGATGGCTTGATGGGCCTGGCCTGGCCAGCGAGTTCTGAGTTCGGTGCTACGCCCTTCTTCAACACCCTCATGCAACAGGGAACTGTCAGCCAGGGTGTCTTCGCTTTCTACCTCTCAGAGTCCGGCTCAGAACTTCGCCTCGGCGGAACCGACGAATCGCTCTACAGTACTCCTCTTCAGTGGATCCCTGTGACCCAACGCTTTTATTGGCGAGTTGGCCTCGATAAAGTAAATGTCCGAGGGACGGAGGTGGTCAGCGGTCTATCAGCCATTATCGATTCAGGTACCACTCTTATTGTCGGTGATCCACCTACAGTTAGGGAGTTCTATCGACATATTCCTGACAGTGCCATCATTAAGGGTGACGTTAACAATGAGTTCTTCACTTGTACATCCCCATTCGTACCCTTGTCTTGTCTGTGAAAACTTGACCCACTATTTCATTTTTTCACAGACCCCTGCCACTACGATCCTCGAATCTCCGTTACATTCAATGGGGCTTCGTATCCCATTGGTTTCAACTTTGGTCCAGTCTCCAATGGGTCAAGCCAATGTCTTGGTGGCATTGTCGGTCTAGCTGGCACTCCGTTCTGGATTCTTGGTGATATATTCATGAGGAGCGTTTATACTGGTGAGCCCTATTTTATTCTTCTCAACAATATACATTGAGCAGATCTTGGTTTCTCCAGCCTTCAACTTTGACAACGCTAGTATTGGATTTGCTCGACTTAAATCTGAGTGGGATCCAAAATTTTCATGATGGAAGGCATTCGTCAGCGCCCACATCTCGCTGCCCATCTCCAAGGCTTTCATTCATCAGCAAACCCCCGAAGTTGATAAAAGTGATAGGAAGCACTTTAATCACTTCTATTTGTCATACCAATGTAATCTATGCGTCAATTGAGACTCAAGCAGCTCAATCACAACAATTCCCACTACTCTGTAGCGGGTCCTATGAATCTTTGCGATGCAGAAGCCTATAGCCGTGCAAGAGGTCCTTTATCATTGCCAATACCTCAGGTTCCCGATTCATTTTCCCTAGGTTACCAGGGTCCTCATTTCTCTCGTATCCCACCTCCCAAACCTACAGTACTATCACGTTCAACTTTTCCTTTCTTGGTTCCTATCCACCTCTGACTTTCGCCCCCAAATCTTCAAATCCCCAATGACCGCATCTTCTGTTTGTTGGCCCTTTTCCTTCTTATCTACCGATCCCCCATTTTCTGAGTCCACTGTTGTGATCAATGCTATCAAACATGGAATATATGATGACTCTTTAGTGATCAATGACGCTATTTTACAACTTCATCACATTCATCAGGAAATTGTCGTGGTCAACTTTGGACACTTCTGATGATCCTGTTGCTTCTAATACAATGAAACTGGCCAAATTGACCAATTTCCCAAAGCATTTTAGTAAAGGTGTCACATTTCAATTCAGTTCAGAAGTGAACTCAATTGTTTTCAAACCATTTGAAGTGAAACCCTGAGGACCTTTTGCTGATGTTGTCAGGGAATGCCACCACAGTCCCATCTCCACTTGTGTCAATGTGTCATCCCAATGGGCTGACTGTTTGATTTTTTGCATTCCAACTCTGTGTCATATGATGTTTTGAAGCTTGTATGTAGCGCTTTGGGCATTGTACCTGGCAATCGATATCGTGCAGCTCAAGTGGACTGCCTACAAATTATACAACATTTCATTTTCATCCAGTCTGTCATATCCATACAATCCCGACCTCCGCTCTGGGCTCCTGGAACTCCGAACTCCGACTTCCGGAGCCCTACTTCCCTTCCGTCACTCTCTCCTTGCCGACTCCCAAGAGGTTATCCCACCTTCCGGCTCCAACACCACCTTCGGTCCGACTCCGGAACATTCCGGGTCCGACCCCAACCTCGACACCTTCCAGACGAGTACACAAACCCTATGCTCCCGACTCCGGACCTCCGCTCTGGTATCCCGTTCACGTCTCGTCTCCGGAACCTCCGGTCTTAGCTCCGACCTCGGACTTTGACCCCACCTCCACTTATACCCATTGTATTGGTTAGCTCATTCCATTTAATTACCTTTGCCAATATTCCGGAGTTTAACCTCTGAGTTCGGACTTTCCGGACTTACTCCGGACCTTGCAACCATTGCATTGTCCATTTCAATTCCGCTATTCTCCCTCATTCCTATTTGGGCTGCTGCTTCCTTTCTATTCAGTCAGCTAGCCATTCCCGACTCCCATCCTCCTTCCTTCCTTCTTGGGCCTTGGCCCTTCATTCCTCCTTTGGGAAACACCATTGAGTCAAACACTTGACCCTCGGAGTTGTTACTCTTTCCATCTCCCTTTGTCTGCTTTCATCCTACCCTTGTTCCTTTTGATTCCGGACCCCTCCTTATATACAATGTACCTAGTAACTTGTAACCTCAGTCCGAAATCGACATGAATTCCCCCAAGAGACTTTCCCTCTGCTAGATCTGAAATTAGGGACCCCTAGGACAACCAGCAATGGCACAGTGCTCCGCCTGAGTCGCTGAGGCCAAGGTCCTTCCATGCTAAGTCTCCGATTCCATTCCGGAGTCGTCCAAATCCGCACGTTCTAACACAGTCTCGATTCCCTGATTGATTGAGTGTACTGCAATTGTTTGAATAATTGTCCCATGTTGATCTACTTGCCCTGTGTTGCTTCCATCATGTAATGTATGATCACAATTTACAATCATTGACTCGAGATCAGTTGCAAACTGGTTCATTTGCTCATTTAGTCTGTGACATTACTTGCAACTTTGGAGTAATCAATGCTTCTACAGCTGAATTTCACTACCTTTGCTATTCAGAACCTAATTGTGCAGCCCAGGCACACTGCTCCCTCCTTGCTGTGTCCTGACACTTCCAGATTACCTCTGCTCCTTCATCACTAACCTTGGAGCCTCCATATTCCGCAATCACCTCTGACTCCCTCGATGGTCACCACCCCCTCAATCCAATATATTACCTACACCTCGCTAAGTATGGATTCCTGAAGGCCTCCGGGTGGCTCTGACATCCGCTAGCACACCCCCACCTCTGCTGAGCAATTCACTTGCTTGCCCTGCAAGCCCACCTTCAGGCCAATCCCTCCTTTCCGTTTCTGGGTTATAGCCTGCCACTCTGCTAACCCTGTAACCTGACTCATCAGTAATATTCACTCAGCTAACATGTAACTCTGTTAGCTCCACTCTGCTCAGTCCTGCCATTCATGGGCCTGCCCTCTGTCAGAGACCGGATTCGAGACGAGGGAGTGTCTCCATAGTGGGGGGCTTCGGCCTCAGCGACTTCTGCCAAGAGCGCTGTGCCTAGTGACACGTCTGTGCCCTAACTTACTGACTGACAATCAGAACCTAAGGGGGGGTAACTCTAGTTGATTTTATTACTGGAGTGTAACCTATGTACAAGCGGGATATATATATGGTTACAGCGAAGACGGGTCCACAATTGGCGGAGCCGAACAGAGTGGAGCTAACGGGGATAAACATTAGCCGACTGAATATTACCGACAAGTCGGGTTGCAGGGTTAGCGGAAAGGCAGGCGATAACCCAGAAACGGAAAGGAGGGATAAGCCCGAAGGTGGGCTCTGCAGGGCAGGCGATTGTATTGCCCAGCGGAGGCGGGGGTGCGCTAGCGGACGTCGGAGCTGTCCGGAAGTCTTTGGGGCTCTGTACTTAGGGAGGCATAGGTAATAAATTGAAATGAGGGGGTGGTGACCATCGAGGGGTACCAAGAGGATTGCAGAATACGGGAGCTCTGAGGTTAGTGAAGGAGGAGCGGAGTTAGACCGGAGGGAACGGAGGGACTGGAAGTCGATGGCTGGGGATGGATATGACACCCTCTATGTAACTATATATATACATAACTTGTAGATAGGTTACACCCTAGTGATAAAATCAACTAGAGTTTCCCTCTTCTAAGTTCTCATTGCCAGTTAGTAAATTAGGGCATGGTCATGTAACTAGGCACAGCGCTCCTGGTCTAAGTCGCTGAGGCCAAAGCCCTCCACCACAGGGACATTTCCTTCATCCCACATCTGGTCTCTGACACCCCCACTGGGCAATTTAGTTGCTTTCCCTGCAGGTCCACCTTTGGGATGATCCCTCCTTTCCATTCTTGGGTTATAGCCCATTACTCCACTAACCCTGTAACCTGATTTGTCGGTAATATTCAGTTGGCTAACCTGTAACTCTGTTAGCTCCACCCTGCTCAGTCCCACCATTCACAGGCCCACCCTCTATGTAACTATATATACATAACTTGTAGATAGGTCACACCCTAGTGATAAAATCGACTAGAGTTTTCCCTCTTCTAGATTCCCTTGCCAGTTAGTAAATTAGGGCACAGACATGTAACTAGGCACATGTCAGGGCACACCCACCTGACCCAGCCCCAGCTGACCCAGTCCCCCACTACCCACTCCTTCCCTACTTCCTCCTCCTTTTCTCTTCCTTCCTTTCTTTCTTCCTTCTCTTTTCTCTCTTCTTTCTTCTTTCCTTATTACATGGACAACTTCCCTTCTATCAGTGTACCATTGACCTGGCTGCAGTATGACATGCCCAAACCCGGACCTGCTGGGCGACCTCCCACACACCGGGTGCTCCTGGGATCTCTTGCAGAGATACCCAGATGGATGTGGCTGTGTGCATAGATGATGTGGCCTTAACCACATGTATATAAACACAGCCTAAGTGGGAACTGAGAAGCAACCTTCTTCTCACACTTCCCACTTTAGCCTAAGTGGCCAGGGACACCTGTTTGCATGGGGCCATTGTTATGTGCAGCCGCATCACACCCTACTGGGCCCTCAGCCCTGGGCGACATACCCAGATGCTCTTGACCCCAGGTCGGTCCCTGACAGCAGAAGAAGGTTTCAACCCATTTCCCCCACCTCCCCTGCCATGGTGACACAAGAACAGTATGACGACCTGCTGGCCCAGTTCCAGGAACTACAGGCCACTGTGAAGGCCCAAGCCCAGGGCCAGCCCACGCACACACCCGTGCATGCGCCCAGACCACCCAAGGTTGCCCCCCCCCACCCCCTTCTCAGGAGTCAGCAAGGACCTCGACCACTTCAAGGCCGAATGCAGGATCTACCTCTACATCTGCATGGCCAAGTTCCCCAGCACCCTCTCCCAGGTCCTCTTCATGCTTTCCTACATGAAGGAAGGGACTGCAGGAGCATGTGCGATGCAACACACCATGGTGCTACTGACGATGGGCTCTCCCACACCCACCATGGACAAGTTCAATGCAGAACTCAATGCCATGTTCCAAGACCCAAACTGGGCAGCTACCGTCTGACAGGGGAGTGACCCCATGGACAAGCTCATCCAGGAGTTTGAGATATTGGGGCCCACCTTGCAGCTAGGCGACGTAGGGCTAGTTGACCGCTTTGAGCAGGCAATCAACTCCTGGCTCCGCAAGAGCATCTACCAGCTCCACCCTATGCCCACCACCTGGGCCGAATGGAAATGTGAGGCCATGCTCCTTCACAGCCAGTGGCAGCGCTTCCAGAAGACACAGCTGTGCATGCCCTCACCCAGACCCCCTCCCCCACCAGTCCCACCCATGACTCCCATAACCTGCCCCAGACCAGAGACAAACCTGCACCCGGAGGTCGCCAGACCCGACGCCTGCACCCGGAAGACCTCCAAACACTGATGAAGGGGCTGAGGGGCCAAGTGACAAAGGATTAGAAGCAAATGGGAAGGGGCTAGGCATGGACCAAAGAGGGCGCCTGGA